AATGTGGCATAAATCATCAAAATACCGAATATCGGGAGGTACCGTTATATGGGGACTGTACCAGAACGTGGACCGATATATCTCATTTTCAATACCAACCATCCTAGACACAATTGAAATTGCTCTGCTAAATGTCTACGTCAAATAATGTGGGCTGTATCGTGATTTCAACAGACGGACGGACAGACACAATTATAACCCAAAGCATTTTTGGATCAATCATATGAGAATAGGCGGATAATTATTTATCTGAACTAGAAGTAGATAAGTAGATACAAAACAACTCACTGACATATCTACAAATTTTTAAATAAAAAATTCTCAGAATTAATTTCGCATAAAACGAAAATTCCATTTAGAGACGACGGGCTTTGGTGAGCATATTCACCTAAATGAAAATTTCAGCAATACGTGATAAACTTTTTGATGCCATGTTTTCATTCAAATTGAATGAGAAACAGTTTTTAGGAACATTTTGTCCCTCAAATCAAAAAAAAAAAATACCTTCTAATTTCTTAATACACTTATTGAGAACTTTAGTCGCCAGGCTTTTATCTTCATATTTTCGTTCTGCGATGTTTAATTTTTATGCTTAACAAGTTGGGCGTGGCCGTCCATTTGATGCCCTTCAACACTGTATTGTATAGTAAAGTTTCTGTAGATGTGATACCCTTTGACTACAATTTCACCAAGATATTGGCATGTGTATGCAATACATTTATGACAACATATCGCGAATACTGCCTCTATGACGAAAATTTCACTTTGAGCTTATAATATCTTCACCAGGGACTAGTATAGACAAACAAATCTGCAGTACTTTGGGAACTACGCCATTGCTGCCAATTTTATGTATACTCACTTCTTCATTCAGTTTGTATAATATTTGGAGGACTTTATAGCACCACAATCAAAAAAAAAAATAAAACTGAACTGTTATAAACGAAAAAAAAACTAACCATATTTTGAAACCACACCGTAAAGAAGGCAAAAATAAAAAGACACTGTCCAGGATTTTTCTATTACAGGGAGAGATAAAAAAAACTGCAACAAAGTTAAAAGCCATAATTTTTACATTTTCTCATTTCATTACAGTGGTTTTCAAAATAGTCTAACGTAGATTTGTTAATAGGTGTGGATTTATATCCCCAGATCGTGCTTCATGGTACCCATTAAAATGTTCTAGGTTCAATAGAAGCCCAAACTACAGTATTTCGTTGGATCTTGACAGGTCCTCTGTGAACCTTCCCGATGTAAGTCTTCAATACTTGGCTGCATTACCCGGAAAAAGAAAATCTTAACCAATTATTACTTCGCTTTTGGAAATTAGAAGAAACACCCAAACGAAAATTTAGCTCTCCTTCAGATAGATTTTGTGAAGAGAATTATCGCGCCACTACGGTAAGAAGTTCAGAAGGTCAGGCAAATTCTGGTCGACCCAAAGCATACTCCCTTTCAACGTATTATGTTTAGAGAGTCCCCTTCACACCAAATCCAATATTATGAATTGCAAATGGTAACCTTTGGAGTTAATTTTGGGCCCTTCTTAGCTATTCGCGCTTTGCATCAATTGGCATATTTTGAGAAAATGCATGTATGTCGATGATGTTCTCGTCGGTGCTCACGATATTAATTCGATGGAAATGAAGCGAGGAACCTCATTTTGTAACCAGTCTTGGGTGGCGCGTGCTGAGTGCAATGGTACTGAGTCCTGTTGGAATGTCCAAGGTCTGCGGCCAAAATGTTTGCGTGCCCAAGGCTTAAATACATCCTCCAGAATATTTTCGCGATAATATTCGGCATTTATTTTTATGCCACGGTCGATTAATACGAGTGGAGAGCGACTATCGGCTGTTATGGCAGCCGACATCATCACCATGTCCGGCGCTTGAGTTCTGGTGGCCAACCGAAGGTGCACATTTTCATCTGACATCTTTGGCAAGGAAAGATGAGCAATTATTTTTAGAAATGACAGATGAAAAAAAAATGAAATATTCATGGGGTTAGAATTTAACCAACTTTAAATGTTCAAAACTCTATATTAAATGTTGCGGAATATATCTCAAAATATTGGGATGACTATAGGTTCAAAGCTATGTTATGGCCTTAAAAAGTTTGATCTAAACCCGACCGAAACTCTTTTTTTTTGATCCACAAATCAATTACTATCAAATTATCTTGGAATTTTTCACAACGCAGTCTGGCTATTGGCCAGTTATATTATGAGAAAGGTAAAAAAGGCTGTTCATACCCAGAGCCACATGGCTACAGAGGGTATATATCACTTGATATGCCTAAAAGTTACTTAATAAAAGGGTCTAACTTTGGACCAAATTAGTTTCAGGACACTCCGCCTGGCTGGCTAGAGCGCACGATAACAAGGAGCACATCCGATTTGGTCCAAACTTGGTACATCGTAATATTATTATCAAAGTTAGATCTAGCTCGGAGATGAACAATATTGGTCTACTTTCGCTATATATATCCGATATACCTACTATCGGCATCTAAGTAACGGTCAGAATTGACCTATTCGTCTATTTGTGATTTCGTCGGGATTAAAAATACTCGCGGTTTAATGGAAAATTTGACTTTTATTTAACACAAATGTTGTGGCCAATTTAACCCACTAAATATTACCCGATGACCATCAAAATTGGAAGGCTTCTGCCCAGCCCTAAGCTCTAGCCCCATGCTAACTTCCGCTTTGAGTGGTCTATAACCCTGTAGAGAGACTGCAAAATCAGTTTTGGTCTATTTGCAATAGGCTTCTATTTTGGCTCTAGCCCCACCTTCATTCTAAATTTCGTGAAGATCGGGCCATAATTGCGACCTGTAGAGTGATTACAAATTAACATGGATAGAAGGACGGAAGGACATGCATAGCTAGATCGACTCAGCTCGGCGAATTAGGAAAATCCATATATACTTTCCTATGTGGGAAACCACAATTTTCGAGGTGTTACATAATTTTAGGTCCAATCAAACTTATAATACAAATAGTGTTGTAAGGTATTTGGGGCACTTTATGACTAATGATTTTGAATAATATATTAACTTGCTACGATCCCGTTTAAAGGGATTTCTTTCTTTTTTGATAACTCGCTTAAAAATTAAAAATTGTTGCCAAAATAACACTTGTATTGTTGTGAGAAATATAACCGAAGACACTATATGCCTAAAATGCAGGAATTCCAAGAAATCTTAATCCGAAAATTTCAAAAAAAAGTGTGGAAAGGGGACATTTTCTCCTTTGCGATCAATAATCCAAACCCCCATAAAAAATATAAAACGTGAGTTTTTCGCCATTTTGACCTTCAAAATCCGATAAGAGAGTTGTTTATTCAGATCTAATTAAAAATGAAATTTGACCTTGACTATTTCGACTTTAAAGATGAAGTTGGTTGAAATAAATGAATTAGTTGTTGTTCTTAATTGCAAAAGCCTCTGAGAGTGAATAAAAATTCAAAACCGTTTGAAAGATATGAACCTCGTAAATAATTCCCTTTGACCTTAATGTCTCAACTCTTTGGAAGCCCATTATCTAATGATGGGAAGAACGCCGGAACACGATCAATTTGTCATGTTTAAAAATATTACACATAGAATCCGTACAATTTATATTACGCAAAGAAGGAATTAATTGGTAACAAAACAAGTCCCAAGACTTATTCGCCGAAATAAAGGTTCTGGGAATGGAATAAAAATACTTTGTTAGCACATAAAATTTGATGATACGAAAGATATCGAATATTCATAAACATAAAAATTTCAAAGAAATAATTAATTACGGGTATTTTATTCTCTACACAAACAAATTATTTTGAAAGATTGTTTGCATTGTAGAATGATTAAAAAAACAGTTTCAAAATATCTTGTTATTTAATGTTCCCAGAAAAATAACGTGGATTACATGCAATTCTGTGGCGAATTCAAATTGCACAAAAAAAAGAAACAAACTCGAAACACAATCTCAAATATCCTTCAACCAAACGAATTCTAAGAAGAGAAAAAAACCACCAACAACCTTTATGCAACCGACACGTCCTAATTCGGAGATGAGATGACGAAGATGAGTCTTTTTCATAACCGGCATAATAAATAATCCACCTGTAGAGAAGCGGCATAAGATAGCTTGTGAAGGCTGGCCTCCACTGTTGGTGTTTTTGTTTTTTGAGTCATCATCACCAAATGTGACAAAAACAGCAACGGGCCATCGGTACCACAGCCACCGGCCAAGATCGACAACTGCAACAAAAACACAATGTATTTACCACACACTCCAGCCAAATTGTCCTCCAATATGAAATGATAATAAAAATTTGAAATTTTGCACATGTTTCGGGTAACTTTTCTCAATTTAGACTCCAGATGACAACAACAACAACACCACCACCAATCAGTAACAAGAGAATAAATATTGTGGTTGTTGGTGCTAAACTTTGGTAACTTATTTTGCGTGCTGCTATCTAGTGCGCCCATCATCACATACACACACACATACATGTCTTCTTCCCTTGAATGGCCGAATGGCTGGATGGATGGTTTGTTGGATGAATAATCTTTTGGCAGCAAAAGGGTGGGAAGGTGACGACAGCGGCGATGGCGGTATGAGGGCGTCGTTGTACTTACTGATCGCCGACTGCTTTTGCTCGTCGCTGTGACTGAATGAATGACTGATGGCCGAGATAGAGCCAGTGTGAAGTGAGTACGTTTCATCGGTACATTGTACATGTGTTGTGTACACATTAAGGTACCGATTGTCTGTCTGGCTGTCTACCTTCTATTTGAGCGAATCATAAGCACAAATCTTTACTCTTTCTTCTACTTCATGCGAGCCGTTGTTGTTGTTGGTTTGAGGGGCTTTCGTATACTTTTTTGTTGTGGCAACAATTTGTGATTCTTCATACGCTGTAGGTCTCAGTTACTCTGTGTTTTTTTGTTTTTGGGCTTCCGCTCAGTGCGTTTAGTATAAAACATGCCGTCCGCCAACAGAACATCATCAGTTACACATTGTCAACTCGCATTTTAAGTGCAAATAACGAGAACACAAGGATTAACCCCAAGACCCACATCAAGTGATTTTTGAAACCAATAAAGGATTAAATTTATTTAACATTTTTGATAAAGTGCAAAATATTAGATAAATAAATAAAAATTAATTAAAAATGTACAAGTTCACCGCCGTTGTTGTTTCCGCTCTATTGTTTGCCATTGTCTTGGCCCGTCCCGCCCAAGAACAACAGGCCGAAGCCGTAACCACCTCCACAACTCCAGCCACCATTATCAAACAAGTCGATGTAAATAATCCAGATGGCAGCTTCAACAGCAGGTATGTATTGCACTGATCAGTGGGTCGAAGGACCAAATTAAAAAAGGATTTGTGTGGTGAACGATAGATAATGTGAATACATGTAAAGCGAACATAAATTGCAAATTTTGAAACCAAAGAAAAAGTATAGTATATTTAGAAAATTTCTGTATAATAACTGGAATCTTCCGAATTTCAATTGAATTTTTCTGAATTTTAAATAGAATTTAAATCAAAATAAATTTCTGAATTCCAAATGGCTTGTTCTAATATATAATGGACTTTTTTAATTTAATGAGACATTTTCTGAATTTGCAATGAAATTTCTAAATTTCAATTAAAATGTTTAAAAATAGTTATAGTTTTGTACAGCCGACATTTTTCAAAAGTAATTAATTTTTTTCCAATGTAAGTTTAATTATTCCATGGGTTGGATTCTTCTTCTATGAAAATATGAAAAATATTTCTTTTATAAAATTTTTCAATTTTTAATAAAATAGGAAATAAGCATTCCTTCCAAAACACAAGATCAGTTGCGAAGATGAAATATGTCGGAGCACTCCTTCTTCTTCCTCCCACACACACAACAGATCAAATTTTCGAATATCTATATAACTTATGAAAAGGTAAATAAGCACTGATTTTATTCAAATTTCACACATCTAAGTATTTTTATTTACAAAAGATCTGGTGTAAAGATGGGATATATCGGTCTACACCTTCTGGTACCTGTCCCACAACGGGTCAAAACTTCGAATAATTATATCCCTCATAAAATGCGAAATAAGTATCTGATTCCTTCTAAACTTCACAAAATTCCAATATTTATACTAACTCAAGATCTGATGTGAAAATAGAATACATCAGTCCAACCCTTCTGATACCTCCACTCAAAAGGTCACTATTTTAATTTTTATGACCTCCACCATAGTATGGAGGGTATAATAGGTTTGTCATTCCGTTTGTAACACCTCGAAATATAAATCTTGGACCCCACAGAGTATATATATTCTTAATCAGCATAAAATTCTATGTCGATTTAGTCCGTCTGTCCGTCTATCCGTCTGTGGAAATCACTACGAGCGAAATCACTACGAAGTATGCAGGACTTTTGGTATTGAGAATAGGTGATGTAGGTCCACGTTTTGGTATAGCCCCCATATAATGGTACCTCCCTATTTTCGGTATTTTGGTGATTTAAGCGACATTATTCACCGGAAATGTTTCCAATTTGGTATTTAAAATTCGTAATGGGTACTACAGCTTATGACAGGAAATTATCTGTACAGGTCCACGTCTTCGTATAGCCCCAATATAACGGTAACTCCCCATATTTGAAATTTGGATGATTTTAGAAACATTATTCGCCGAATTTTTTTATTCAAGTTGCACATTTGAATACGGATTTTATTTTTTTTTTTTTTTATTGCCAAAATCGTTCCAAATGGTGGAGGGTATTCAAAGATACAGCTTTACCGCTTTTTTACTTTTTTCAAGCGATTCATTTCAAACTTGGTATATCTAAATCTCTCTCTTGACCAGAGATCTTATCTGAATATGAAAATCATGGTTATAGCGATATTATTAACCGGAATTATTTAAAATTTCGCATTTGAAGTTCGTTAAGGGTACTACAATCAGATATTCGGGTTTTTCATGATTTCAGCAACATTATTCACCGGAATCGTTTAAAATTTCGTACTCGAAGATCCTAATGAGTACTACAACCAATGACAAAAAATATTGTATGCAGGTCCAGATCTTCGTATAGCCCCCATATAATGATACCTCCCGATATTCGGTATTTTCTTCATTTTAGCGAAGTTCGTAATTGATTTTAAAGTTCGTAATGCTTACTACGGCCTATGAAAAAAATTTTTGTATGCAGGTTCACGTCTTCGTATAGCCCCCATGTAACAGTACCTCTCGGTATTCGGTATTATGGCAAAAAAATCGTATGTGCATCTTCTTATAGCAACCATATGACGGTTTTCATTTGAGTGGTAGTTTTCGAATTCTGTTTTTGAAATTCGTAAAGTTAATTCGAAATGCTGGAGGGTATTAAAAGTTCAGCCCTGCCGAACTTATCTGCTTTTTATACTTGTTCTGAATCTATTGGTAGCTTTTGAGATGCTTCTGACAAAATCTGTTATTCTGCTTATTCACGTACCCCAAAAATGAAGTTCGTCTCTGAACCCAATGACATGGAAGAAGCGCACGCATTTTGAAAATAAAATCCAATGATTTCCAAATGTTATTTATTCGTAAGACGATTCATGGTTTAATTATAGACATAAAGGAAAGGTTCATATCTAAGAAATCAATTTCTCGTATTTTGAAATTCTAATTTCTATAAAAAGTTACAAATATCGAATAACTACCCCTTCCGCTGGAGATACCGGCTAGGACCTTTAACCGCACACAAAATCGCCCGGTTCCACAAAATAGGGTCATGTCGAAACTAGAATCAATATTTATATTTTTTCCTGATTAAAATTTTTTTCCAAACTAAACTGAGCCCAAATATAGCCATTTAGTTTGGATATTGCATTGAAAATACCAAAAATCTCGAGGTACCACTATGTGGGGTCTACACAAAATAGAGGTCCAATATTTGAAATTTCCTCTGAGAAACTGAAACAACAATAGTCATAGTTAATATGACTTACTTCACACAATTTCCCAATATAAATGCATATTTGTTACGGCTACAACTGATTGTGGTGCTGTAGGTTATCATATGCCATGTCCAACCGACAAGTGCAAAAAGTTGTATCTTGCAAGAGATTGTAATTATCTTGTTTTTTTAATAATTGATTCAAATTGAAATTAATACATATTTAATAGATATAAATATAATTTCCTAATTTCATTACTATTCTCATTACAGCTACGAAACCTCCAATGGCATCAAAGTCGAAAATATCGGTTACATGAAGAAAATCCTTGTGCCCCGCCAGGAAACCGAAGATGGTCAAGTTATCGAAGAACACGAAGAGATGATTTTGGTGCAAAGCGGTTCCTACAGTTATTTGGATCCCGAGGGCAATGTCATTACACTCCGCTATGTGGCCGATGAAAATGGATTCCAGCCACAGGGTGATCATTTGCCAGTTCCTCCACAATAGAAGAAACTTAGCAAAACAAAAAAAGAAAAAACGAAAAGATATCAAACATCAAGAAGTCATAACAATTAGTTTAGTTAAATCTTAAGATCTAGTTTAAGTTTTTTTGTAAAAAAAAGTAATTGAATACTATCGAAAAACGTCAATTAAAAAGTTTTCTATTTTGTATACATACATAAATATATCTCTTCTAAGTGTCATGTACTCGATAAAATAAATATGAAATAAATATGATTTAAGAAGAAAAACAACAAAAACGAAACCGACAATAACAACAAATCATTTCAATTCACGCACAGCTTAATCTTCAAAACAAGATCTGTAAAGCATCCCAAAACCATGGCTAGTCCGATAATAATCTCATCTTTAAGGTCATTAGCCAAACATGATCCGCTATTAGCGAGGCTGAGCCTGACAATGATGCATCACCATTTGCGCCGTCACCATCATTTGCACGCATGCGTGTTTGTGGTCACAGCATTCAACACCTATCTCAGGTGGTAGTGGCAGTTGTTGCTGCTCATTGTGATTCCAACAACATTTATGTGGGTCTTCTGTTGTTGTCTTTTAACTCAAGCATTACTTATCACTTGGTTAGGCTGGTGACAGACAGGCGTCAATGGTAGTACCATTGTCTGACTTTTCAGTGTCATTGGTGGAAGTGTCATATTCATGAGTACACTTGATTCCGGAGTTAATTATAGTCTGTGCCGGCTGAATGGGAGTTTTGAGAGATACAATTGAATTAAGCAGCGAATATGCTACACATTTTGAACTATTTCTCGCCTACTTTGAAAGAGGAGGTAAACATCAACGGCACGTGTATTGGCGTTTTTAAAGTTTGCAATAGGAGATAAATCACAATTAGCGGGGTCAAAGTTCCTGTAAATAATATAATCCAAATAATCCATTATTAGGTAGTGTAAATGTACTTCCTTCTGCATTACCCTTGGGCACCAAGTAATGAGTAACGTCGCACAGAGAGAGAGAGAGAGAGAGTCCACTACCAAACCGATGGTAATTCGTAAACAACTGGTAACTAAACGCACATCGGTGAGTCGTTTACTTGTAAACATTGTCCGAAGCCACTGAGTAGCTGTGTTCAAAGCCGACCCGGTGAGTTGTTATAAGCTCGAAGACCATACACTTCGTAACACCTCGAAATATATATTTTAGACCCCATAAAGTGTATATATTCTTGATCAGCATAAATTATATGTCGATATAACAATGCCCGGCCGCCTGTCTGTCTATCCGTTTAGGTGTTTATTCACAATTTTAAGCCGAATTTGCTGTAAATTGGCAGCATGAGTTCCCATTATGTAAGAAACACACTTATATAGAAATGTGAATATAGGTCTGAATTTTGGTAAGGTCTCTAAAGATTTGCGATATATCAATGATTTGTGTCCAAACTTTACACCGGAAATGTTTAAAATTTGGAATTTGGATGGAACTTGAAAAGTAAAATTGGTCATGCAGGTCCACGTCTTCGTATAGCCCCCATATAACATTACCTTCCAACATTCGGTATTTTGTTGCTTTGCGAAATTATTCACCGGAATTATTTCAAGATTCGTGTGTGAATATCCCAATGGGCTATGACAAAAATATGCAGGTCCAGGTCATCGTTTAAGCCCCAATACAACGGTAACTTCCTATAATCGATATTTGTATACCCTACACCACACTGCTGCAAAGACCTAAATGGTAAAGACTAGACAAAATGCATTTTGAGCAAATGGTTTGTGTCTACAATACATAGAGTAACAGCTCATGGCAGAGACATGTTAATATAAAAACCACAGATATTGCTTTAGCGGTTTAAATCAGTTAACATTGGTAACTATGTTGTTATGATATCGTAACAACAGAGGTATTTTCACAGGGCTGCCATTGTTTGTTCATTTCTTTGTAACAGGCAGAAGGAAGCGAGATAGACCTATAGTTGATTTTGATGATCTGCATAGAATCACATTATGAGTCGTTTTATAAATGTCCATCCGTCCTTCTGTCTGTCCATATATTTTTGTGAACAAAATACAGTTCACATTTATAATCGGATTTAAATATAATTTTACATAAATCATTCGTTTGATCCATGGTTGAATCCAATTAAAATTGAAGATAATCGGATTAGATTTGGATATAGCTCCCATATGTCCCATATCCCATATGTCCTTTATTGTGCATCAAATGTGTAATATTAGCCCAAATACAGGGTTGCCCATATTCGACAGACCCATCTTGTAACGCCATAACTTTTGACAGAGATGTCACATCGCTTAATGACATACCGCGTTTGAAGCGTCAGTCCAAGCAGATTTTTACCATGAACCAATACACGTCACGCGAGCGCTCTGAAATAGTTGACATTTACAAGAAGTCAATTGTGAAAACTCAACGTGCTTTTAAAACATTAAAAAATGTGAGAAGTGCGCCTTCTAAGAACACCATTAAGCGTTTATACGAAAAATTTTCGACTGGTAAGGCTCTTTCTAATCCGAAGAGGCCATATAAAAGTCGACCAAGGCGATCGGTCGAGAATATCGCTGCCGTACGAGCCGGTGTTGAGAGGTCCCCAAGAACATCCCAAAAACGCAGTTGGGCATGGCTCGGTCCACTTTACCCTTTACAACGGATTATTTATTATTTGTTCCCGTACAAAATGTTGCCTGCGGACAAGCCTCGTCGACTGGAATGGGCCCATGGATCCGTCTAATATGGGCAACCCTGTAGAACGGAATTTGGCACATTAAACCAAATTCAGCTTGGAAGCAAGTGTATCAAAATTGGCTAAAATCGGTTAAGGCATAGCAATAGCTCCCATATATAATGTTCATCTGATTTGATATTTTAGTCTCCCACAGACATAATAAGAACTCCATAACACCGTAATTCGAAAAAATATATAAAATTAAGCTCAGAAAGATTTCTGCCAAATTTTATCAAGATCGGTTCAAGCATGGTACAATAAGAAGGCAAAACAGCTTCGTAAAACTACAGAAATACAGCCCTGAAGCTATGCGCGCTTCCTGTCAGAATTATTTAAAATTATATCCAACGATTTGTTTTTATTTATATGATGTTTTTTTCATTTTTAAAATAAGTCAAATAGCGCGAAAGATGAATGAAATGCCTGCATGTTCTCCCAAAAATATGATCGTAAGTGTTCAATCTATCAATTCCGTGGCAAATCTGGATAACATCATTAATGCGGGCCCTGCAATTTCCAATCATTGGTTTTGAAAATATTTTGTTTTTATACCCTCCACCATAAATAGTATGGAGGGTATATTAAATTCGTCATTCAGTTTGTAACTTATCGAAATAATAATTCTAGACCCAACGAAGTATATATATTCTTGATCAACGTAAAATTCTAAATTTAGCCCTGTCTGTCCGTCCGTCTGTTCGTCTGTTGTAATCACACTACAGTCAAAACGAATTAAGATAGGAAGCTAAGATTTTGCACAGATCAGTCTTTTGCTTGTAGGCAGGTCAAGTTCGAAGATGGACTATTTCGGTCCACGATATCGTATAGGCCCCACAAACAGTACCCACGATATTCGGTATTTTGATGATTTTAGCCACATTTTTCAATAGACTTGTCTGAAACTCTACACAATGAGTTACTTGTGAGTACTTTACCCCTGAAAGACAATTGTCTATATAGGTATTGTATATCCCCCATATAACGGCACCCCCCGATATTCGGTATGTTGATGATTTTAGCCACATCTTCAATGGAATTGTCTGAAATTCTCACAAAATGTTCCTTGTCCTTCGAAACATCATTTAAGAAGGATGACGTCAAAGAAAAAAATATTTTTCATAAATTTTCACTATAAGTCACCACAGAAAGGAAATCCATTTTTCCATTATAAATCAAGAAACTATATGTTTCAACTTTGTCAACAAAGAAACAATCCGAAAATATTTCTTTTTTTTATCAATTGCTATGTGCGAATCTCCCTTAATAATACATTTTTTGGAGAAATATATTTTCTAGGTCGGATTTCAATGTGAACAAAATAAAATGTGTGTACCATAAGAAATATCATCATAATTTTTGTTTATTTTTATTTTCGGCAAAATTAACACTTTTTCCGAATTTACGGAAAAATTGTCTTATAGTTGTTTGGCAAATCATTATGAATAGGTTATCTCCAGGACAACGCTTCCAAATCGTGGAAATTCATTCTCAAAAACAGTTCAATTAAAAAGGTGAATTTTATGGTGCACATAATCGTCCGTCTGAGACCACCATAAAGAACGTAGTTACCGTATGTATATAAGGAAATTTTGCCGTCGTTGAGACCAGTGTTTAATGGTGAACATCGATTTCAAGCATTTTTCACACCTTTTTTATACTATACAACACTATGTGTTGGGGGTATTATAAGTTTAATTGGGTCAAAAATTATGTAACACCTCGAAATATTGGTCTCCGACATGGGAAACTATATATGGATCTTCCCATCTCGCCGAGCTGAGTCGATCTAGCTATGTATGTCCCTCTGGTCGCAATTATGGCCCGATTCTTACAAAATTGAAAATATGTATGGGGTTAGGGTCAGAATAGGAGCCTATTGTTTTTGAAGATGATTGCACAAGTATAGGGCTGGTCAGAAGCCTACCAATTTGTTTGGTGATCGGACAATATTTAGCGGCAAAAATAGACCACAACTTTTATGTAAAAAATATGAAAAATTCCACCAAACCGCGAATATTTTTAATCCTGCCGAAATCACAAATGCACGAAAATGTCACTTCTGATGTACAAATATGTACAATCTCTTGCAACAATCACGTTGTTCGCTCTCATAACTAGGTAAACGAATTAACCCGTACATACGGCACGATTCGTAATTCATAGTGGGTAAAATGCGTACCTCGGATGGGAGAGAAAACAAAATTTACTTTCGAGTTTTGCCTTGTTAAGGCGAAGATCATATGTTTTTTTTTTTATTTTTTTTTAGAGATAACAAACACTTAAATCATAAAAATTTACTTTCGTTTGAATGTACATACGCCAACATTGTAGTTTTCATTCAAAATTTTCAGTCTTCCCAAAATTTTTTAAAATTTTATTAAATTTTTCTATTTTTAATTTTTAAATGTCATAATTTATTTTTTCTATAAATGCTCTCATTTGTTAGGGATGGCACACATTTCATCTGAGAGTGATTTGAATGGAACATAGAACAAAAATCTTTATTCACTCAGCAAATTTTGTGTGGGGAATTAAGTAGATAATGC